TTCCTACTGGTATGGATAGGGATACAGGGCTCCATGTTTTGCCTCATCTCTATATTAGTCTAATACACTCTTATGTACTTTAAATGGAGCAAGAAGAGTGAAGTTTAGGATACTGAGACATGCCACTAGTGCATGATCTGGGGTGGGGGGCGAGCCTGACATATCATCATTCCAAGTCTGCCTTCGTTTAATAGCATTTTCAATATGTAACAAAGGTGATTCTGTATTTTTATTTTTTATAGATCTAATTCTATTAGTGTGAGGGGGAGCTTTATGATGCAGTTATATTTTATTACCATTTATATAGCAATAGTGTGGTAAGATTTCAGAGCTATTAACTATGATTGCCCAAACTCGGTGAGCTATGGGTGGAAACTGATGAAAGGAACCGACACAGCCAGAGTTGTACCTTTTTCTTCAGCCCCTTTGTCCCTTCCAAATATAAGGATAAAACAAAACAAAACAAAAAAATAATCACATCCAGGGTGCTTTGATATAGGTTAAATTCACTTAGATGTCTGTCAGATTGTGGCAGTTTATGCATCTCCACTGCAATGGGAAACTTTCATTTGATTTCCAAGGAGCTTGAGTTTGGTTTCCTATTAAATTAAGTTGTTAGAGTGTTAGTGCCTCTGAAAACTGTTACTGAACTCTTCCATCCTCCTCCATTCAATTTCATGCCTCTAATTTCTATGCTTCTAATGAAAGGGATGTTTACTACCAGACATCTAACTTGAACTGATCTGGCAAGTTGCTGAGAAATGTAGTTGCAAAACATTTGATATGAATGAAGTTTTCTCCATGAAAAGGTCTTATGTCAAAAGTGAAGACAGCTCTCTGCTTTTGCTCTTCTTAAGTACTGGATGTTAGACATTAATAATTGAACTGGAAATATAATTACAGGATTATTAATCAGATGCATTTTTTTCAACTTGGGAAAAAAAAAAAAGAAGGCCAAGTGAAACATGAAAGTCCACTGGGAAAAACTGCTAATTAAAACAATTAAAAGAGGATGTGGAATTCTTAATTCTTACACTTGTCTAAAAAGATGATTGACTAGGCTTAACTCTCCTGGGAGTGGGTGTACTGGCCAGTTTTTTATTTGCCTCTTAAGATCAAATGTTTCTATTTCTTTTATGAGGCACAATTAATTTCCTTTGCAGCAAACTTTACTTATTATGATATGGGTAGCTGATCAAGTTTAAAATGTTTGATCAGGTTAAGCAATGCCTGTCATTTACCATTCCCACTCATGGAGAGAAGCACTTATTTCTTCCACTCTCATAACATTCTGCAGACAGACTTTCTGACAGCTGAAGTGTAGCCAGTAAATTTCTTTTCCATTAGTTGCAAATTGTACAATAATATACTAAGGTAATTACACCATAAATCTTCTTGCCATGAAGTTAGGCTCTGCGGTACACACTCATAAAATTGTGCAGTAGCAAATAAAATCCTTGCATCTGTATATATTAGTCTTGCAGTAACTTTTTTGAGGGTGGTCTAAAATACTGCCAAGGGGAAACTGGGAGGAACCTGGAGGAATTCAATGGTTCTTGTTTTTCATGAGAGGAGCTATAATAATTAAGGACTTCAAAAATCAGAGTTACCTTGTAGCCATACATGGGGCAGAGCACAGATTATTGTCAGCAGTATCTTTAGATATGCAGTGTGAACTGGAATATAATATTCTCTGGATCATCCAGGGTATGAGGAGTCTTAGCTGAAGATCTGCGTCTAATACAAACTGTGTTGAAGCACTTAAGGAGCCTACCCAATCCAGACAGAATACCTCTGGGCTGAATCTGATCATTGCCTGTCTCTAAAATGCTTTAAAGATGAGGAAAACGCAAGCAAGAATATTTGCACTAAAAGAAACATCCACCAGTACATCTGTTCTTGCTTCCTTCTTAGTTCCCTAGAAAACAGCAAACAGGTACTGTAACTAAAATGTCTTTCAGCACCTGAGAGCATTTGAGACAGTCTTCCTTCAACCCGTGGTAGGTATTTGCACCCACATCGCCACAGACCTTTCCCTGGATTAGGAGCATGCGCTTAAAACTTTGGTACTGACCCAAGGCAACGGAAATTACATGTGCACTTTGCACAGCATCTCTTCTGCCCTTCCACTTCTCCAGGTGAGCTACCAGATCCCTAGGAAGCCAAATTTTGCTGAAGATCAACTCTAGGTCTATCTCATCAGTTGCCCTAGCTGGGTAACCTGAGCTAAGAACTGCAGGTTGGATTTACAAGAGCCCATGTCAGGTTTAATTTGCTGCACTGTGTGTGTCTTAGTGGTGAGAATGTGTGAGCTTTGCTCCCTCCCCTCCCTTCCCAGAGGAAAGCCGTTCACTCCTGCATAAGGGACAGTATTTACAGAGGTCAAGTTATTTACAGGACCATTCTTATTCTTTTTTTTCTTTCTTTTTTTTTTTTTTTTTTTTTTTTTTTTGCTTTTTGGGAGGCGGGGGAGGGCTTGGTGGCACAAGTGGACAGATGGATTCATGGTAGCGATAACACTGCTGGAGGAAACAGCGCAGAGGCTGGGTGCAGGGCAGGAAAAGCTTTGGTTAAAAAGGCCTGCATTGCAGCTTCCCCTTCTGCCTCACACTGAGGACATGGGCCTCTGCCAGGGATCAGGCAAGACCACAAGTATCCTTCAGTGTAGGATCATTTTAGGTGAACAGACTTTGCTATTCTGTGAATAATTACCCTCACACAGGCTGCATCTTCGACTGGGTCTGGAGTGACTGAGTAGTGTGAAATGGGCATTTGACTTGTATTCATCTGGGAACAGGGCATGTAGGAGCACTGGAGAGAGATTTTTCCTGCACATCAATGCCCAGGAAGTACATTTGATTATATTCACTATATTTGGTGTGATTTGCTGCACTCGGATATTCAGCTGCAATTAGGTGGTTAGAGACTCATCATTTATCTTTGGCTCTGTGCTGTCTATCATTCTGTTCCCCCATAAGTCTTTGCTTATGGCATCATTCTGAACATTTTGATTAGGAAATATCCCTGACTTGGAGCTGTTGTTGTTGGTAGGATTTTTGTGTGCATCTCCTGTCAGTATCTAAATCTCTTCTATTCAAGGCTCTTTAGAGCACTTGTCTCTCAAATGATGATTATGTCTCCTGTCTGATTCAGAGATCTCTCAGAAGCTTTCTCTGACATTAGACCCCAAGAAATTTTTTTGTTCCCTGATATCTGAACATGTTCCTTGGTGAATGTCCTAATTTTCTTTTTCTTCCACTAGGGTTTCTTAGGATGTTCAGATTCTCCTAAATCATCTCCTCCTGCTTTCCTCCTTCCTAAAAAGGCTCACATTCTTGGTGCCCTTATTATGTTGAAAATGCTTTGAATTTGATTCTGCACTCACTGCTCTTCCTGCTTTTCAGTTCGCTCTTTCATAAACAATTAAATAAGAGAAAAACAGGGAACATTTAATTGTGTTTGTGGTGGGGAAAGGACTTGTTAGGTAAGACACTGTGGGAATGGCAGTGGGGAACCTCTGCTCTTGAGGGAGCTCTTTTACAGGTCAGGTCATTTAAATGCAGCTCTCAATTCTCTGTGCTTTTAACTGATGAGAGAGGCCAGTAAGTGGATGGACTTCTCCTGGCCCACATCCTTCTCTCTGGAAGATTTAATCTTGTTTAGCCTTGATCTGATATGAATGTATGGCTCATTGGTGATATCTCCTGCCAGGTAAGGAAACCCAAACAGACCACAGGTAAAGCTGATCTATATCCACATACAGCTCAGTCACCCTGTAGATTGATCACCCTGTGCAGGTTTATGGGTTTATGGGAACATTTTACATATGTCTATCACTCTGTTTCATTCTGTATCGCAGCTGCCATTCCCTCTGAAATCCCCAGAATGGTTTCATTTAATGATGAAGCTGAGTACTAGTAAGAATAGATTCACCCAGGATAGGAACTCTAACCTAAGCCTTATGCTTGTACCATGCTGAAGAACACCATGAAAGACATTGGGGAAGTGATGGACAGAATCCAAGCAGTTCATGTCCATACACAAATCACAAACAAATCTCAGTCTTAAGAAGCTTTTTATTTGCATCTCATTCTTCTTCACTTGTGGAGTCAGCATGTATTTTGCCTGGTAATAGAACTCACCCAATCACTGGAGATACTAATGTCACTATGAATCTTCCAAGATTAAAGACTCTAAGGCTCTCCTTTAAAAAAAAAATAGTAAAAAAGAAAATTCAGCCACGCTTTAAGCTATGCTGATGAAGTTGTGATGTGGATGGAGCTATGGAGAGATTTGACTTGACAGTCATAGTGCTTTTGAAATCTATGGATCTACTTCAGTTATACCCTCCTGCTGATGAAAAATGAATGAAGCTGTAAAGCTGGGCATTTTGTGGAATTTAGCATAAAAGAGCATTAGCTCCTCTTTCCCTGGGATATCCCTTTATGCATCTCTTAATCTTCCTATAAATTCAGACTTTTTTGTTTCACTGTTTAGGCAAGTGTGGGTGCTACATTAAGTCTGTGACACAGATATAATAGTGGAGGGAAACTGAGCTGGATTTTAAATGTTTTCCTTCTATTTCTTTGAGATATTTTATCAGATTGGTTCTGTCTGTCCCTTAGATGTTAAAGATGCAAATTGTTTATTTTAATAGCTCCAATCACCTGCACAAAATTCCCCATGTCTCTTAACCAACAAGCTAAATCCCATGGACTTCTACTGCAAAAGAAATAAAAGCAAAGCCAAACCAAACCAAAACTTTTTAAACAAGTAAATGCATATGAACTTCCTCTGATAAACGTTTGCAGTTACTTTTGGAATAGCCAGTTTATTACAAATGCTATAAGTGTACCACTGAAATTAAATAGTAGGAAGCAAACAACATGAAGCTAGCTATTAATCTCTGTGTATCCAAAGCTGTCGTGAGTAAAAAAAAAAAAAAAAAAAAAAAAAAAAAAGTTTTGGGAAAGAAAAAATATGTCTTTGTTTTTGTTCCAGAGATGGATCAGGGCCTCCTTACTGTCTGAAGTCTCTGCTCTGCTTTACTTTCACCATCTGGTTCCAGAGAAGCCAATCCAAATCATTTACTGCATATCTTGCCTTGCCGTAATTTACATTTGGCATCAGGATGCAGCTGTACTGACTCTTCCCAAGTAAGTCAAGGTCATTTTCATCAGTCCACATTTAAATAATCCTTGTGTTTTCACTTTCTCTTAGTACACATCCCACTAGACCATTAAACTATCGTCATGTTGGGTTTCTATGAAATTTGTCATTTTTCCTGAGGCTGGTGAAATGAGTGATGATGACACCCTTCTTAACAAAAACATCTATCATTTAAAATCCCACATGTCCCCTGAGCCTTCAGAACTGTTAAAAGTCAATATAAGGCCTTTATCTTGACATCAGTTCGTGAAGACTGAAAGTAGTGTTTATGTGGAATCCAAAGGGAGCCACCAGGTATGTGTTATTGGGATTAAAATCTGAACTATCAGAAGTCCAGTTCCACTAGTGATCAGACTTTACGGTAATCCACATCAATTCTGTGCAATTAGGGGAGATCAAATAAAAGATTTTCTGTTTTCTTCTAAGAAAAAAATGCTTATTGGGCAAGGAATCTGGGAAGTTTTGCTTAATGAAATTGAGTTTTCTCTGTCTTAGAATTCTTGTCTCTTTCTTACAATTGATGAGGTATTAAACACAAGACTCAATTTGTTTTCTATTTCTATGATGGAATTCACTTAATTGAATAAGTAATAAACAAGTTTAAATCAGCCAATTCTTAAAAAAAAAAAAAAAAAAGAAAAAAGAAAAAAAAAAAGACTAAGATGCCTGCAGCAGGTATAAGATAAACCAATGGTGGTGCAAACATTATATTTTGTAATATCCAGATACTAACCAAATCTGGGAGAAATATGGGAAAAGACAGACTGGGAAAGGTTGAACTTGCTGTTATAGGCAGAGGTTTTTCAAACAACCCTAAACATTTTCCAGACTCATCAGAAGTTATCAGAAAGTTATTCCATTTTGTGTGTGTGTGTTGTTTTACCCTTTTGAAGTCATAGTCTATGTTTCCTGATTGTTCCTACAGGGATAATGCAGGGCCCTTCCAGTGAGAGGTGACACTTTGGCAAGGATTCAGAGGGTTGAAGATCATTCACTAATAAACTCTAATAATCAGCAGCATTAAGAATTAGAATAAACACATTCAGCCTGTAGTACACCTTGATCCAAAGGATATACTTACCCATCCTTCATGTCAGTCAGGGTGTCAGGTCATTTCACAGGTGGTAAGGCTGCGACAAGCATTAAGCACTGCTCAGGAAGCACTAAGATGCTGTTTTTCTACAACAGACTTCCTTAGTCTTAGATCTTAGTAACAAAAAGGAATCCTAGGAAATCATAGGGCAGTCCAAATAAGAAAAAGAAAAAAAAAATAAAAAATCTGTGTGGGAGACTTGCAGAAAACTATCACAACTAGCATTGGGAATTCATGGTAATGTAAATATCAATTTGCATGATTAAATTTAAAAACTCACAGCTGCTTGGTTCAGTATAGTTTATACAGTTACATTTTGTGTATGTGTGTGCGTGTGTGTGTGTCTTATACTTCTGAGTATATTAGCCAATTTCAGCTAAATCAGATGAAGGGGCCCAGGATTGTAGGACTTGGGATAATTCAATTCCCATGAGGTTTTTGGAACACAACAACTACAGATTGTGCCAAAGTGAAAACTAAGCACTCTGAGAAATTGTATTTGTTCCTTGGTTGTGCATCACTTACAGGATATTCTCAAAAGAAATGGGGAGACCACAGGAAATGCTTTTAAGCTGATATGCCGGAGGCTTAGAGCTGTGTTAGCTTTCTGATATGGGCAAAAGTTGCTTTAGAGTGCTTTGATGGTGTAGCAATGCTACTTGTAAGATGATTTAATCCAAACTTTTCTGTATTGTCTACATTCTTCCTGGTAAAATATCACAAACATGGAGTAAAACAGGAGAGCGGTCTCCACTGGAGACACGTATGTAACATTAGAAACTAAGTCCAGGTAGAGGAAAAACCACTACAAAGCACTGAAATGAAGTGGAGCACAGCCTTAGTATGGTGAGTCATATCCTTGGTCCTTAAACTGCGGACGAGGAGGTGGGTTGGTCAGTGAGCAGCTACAGCCTTTCTGCAATTGTTCTTATTTATATAATCTGTCCATGTAGGAGCTCAGTCATAGTTGAAGATCCTTTGAGTCTGTACTGTGCAAACCTGAAAAAAAACACCTGATTCCACCTCATGGAGGTAAGTACATTCTGCTGTTCATTTATTTATTTATTTTATTTTCATTGCACATGTCGCTGTTTCTTCATCCTTTAGTCTACTGCCCCCAGGGAGAAAAAGGAAAATATTAAATATCTCATCTTAGGCAAGAGAGAATAATTCAGAGATATTTTCACCTCAGTACAAGCCATTAGAGTTGGTTCTTTCTAGGTAAATAGTATCAGAACCCTCAGGGTATGGGGAAAAACACAGAGAGATTGAAAATTGAGCTCTGAACTCCTTTTCTAGCATGGGTGGATTTCAGAGGAGCCAAGGGCTTAAAGACAAACCAGAGTGAAGCCTGGGGAGCTCATCTGGTCTCCCTGAGGGTAAGAAGCAGGAATAAGGGAAGTGCTGGGGTTGAGCTTTCTGGTGACTCTCCAAGAGGCTGCAGAACTCTGTTCTCCAGAAATGGGCGAGCAAGCCAGGTGCTGAAATTGCAGCAAACCTGCAATAGTGGCTGCATGCTGAAGTTTTCTCATAGTGAATGATGTCTTTGCTACAGAAGGTGTTTTAGGAAGGCTGTAGAGTGGAACTGAGAGTTGGCTTGACCCTCTACTACAACTGCAGACTAAGGCTAGAGACAGAAAGAGACTAGATAGCAGAAGGACATGAGGTAGCAAAATTTCCTCATTTCTCCTACTTCATGACAAAAGAACTCCTGACCGAGAAAAACTGTCATGCTGGGAAGGGCCTGATTTGTTCTTTCAGACCTTTCTCATAATTAGCTCAGTTGTCTGCCAGAACCTGGAAAGCTGCTGCTGAAAATGTTGTATTTCTTACCTTCTTCATTACAAGAAACCACAAGTGATAGCAAATCCAACTATTGGCCAGCCTTTTATCATTGTGCAGCATTATGAAAATATTTTCTCCATTTGGATAGGCCAATGGTGCCATTGATTGCATTGTTCTCTAGCAGTTGGTGCCAGACTTATGATCCTTTAAGCCACATGAAGATTATCTTTGTTTCCTTTCATCTGCGTAATTTGTTTTTTTGCCACTCACTGCAAGAACACATTTGGGACTACCTGTCTTTCTACCTTTGAGTATTGACTTTTTTTTTTGTGTGTGTGTGTGTGAAGCCTATGACATGTTCAAACTGATTTAAATCATAGCTGTTGTACCAGATAGGACAAGGGTAGGAGCAATGCTGTCCCTATTTGCCTGATGGGTAGGTGGCCACATTGCGAGTGCTGTAGCATGTTGCAGAGAGGTCCAAATAACTAATCACATCTATTCCCTGATTGAGTGCATTGTATTTAATACTATGTATGAACAGGAATTGTCAAGACCTATGGCAAGTTAAAAAAAATGTTAATAACAGACAGCCAGTGAGATAGACAACCCGAGAGGGGATCAGGTCTGACCTAATTTAAAGAGACAAGCTGTTGAATATTTTAGCCCCTGTTCTGGTTTTGCAAAACAAACAAACAAAAAAAACACCTGTGCAAAAGTATGAGAAGGCTTTACTTTGCAACCTTTGTGCAGCTTTTCTGTGTGCATTGGGGTATGGACTTCATGCACAATGGGCATTTAAATATTCAGCCACTGTGCTAAGCCATCTGGATCTCACAGTGACTTGCAGTAGCCAGCCAACAAGAGAAGATCATTGCGGCATGAATGGAGAGGAAAAAGGAGCTAATGAACATCTAAGGTTTTTAGAACTCTTAATACTCAGTATGTTTTCACATCCAGTACATGGGAAAATTATAGAGACGTGCTTTCGGAGGTATTCTCACATCACGATGACATTGTCCTAAGCTGGTGGCCACATCAGGCCCCACAATGAGGTATTTCCTCCATTTCCTTGGAGTTGGAAAGTCTGCAGGCTCCTGGTGATGCGTGTTCATTAGTCTAGCAGCAGAGTTGCCTGCAACAATGCTGGGGTCAATAGTGGCTCAGCAGGGACACAAACACATCATTTCCCTGGAGCCATTTGCTTGGAGCAGGTAGTGGGGAGAGAAGTGGGCTTTTTGCTGTTCGCTGTTGCTCTACTGTGCAGGCTGCCTCAGAGGACCAGACTTCCCCAGCATAACATTTATCCAGTATTAAGAACCTAGGAGACTTGGTGTGATGCATCTTGCATTTTCTGGCAGAATATTACGAGTAAAAATAATTAAACTGCATTTGGTGGCACACCGATGTAACAATGCAATGGCAGATCTACGGCAATACGATGACTCATTTAGTTTGAAACTTTGAGTCTTCATACAGCGTTTTGTGTAAGAAACCAGCAACGGCTGGAATCATCTTGTAATGGTAACACAAGTGTTTCCTTAGAGCCTTCCTGTGTCTACTGGACTTGATCTCTTTTGGGGTTGTCTATGTCTTTAGGGCTTTGGAAAAGTTCTGGCAACTTTCTTTTCTGTGGTGGTTAAGCAGATGCATTTATTGCCAGAGGGCAATAAAATTAAAGAAGTCAATAGCAAATAAAGGCAGTCGCTTATCTTCTTTGGCATCTACAAAGAGACTAAAACTGAAATGGACTTTGTGCAAACATAAAATGCAGTTTGTGTGATAAAACTCCTTGTTGTTCCCAAATCAACCTATCATCTCTTCCTAGACGGAATAGAAAGAATCTAGATTACACTTGATCATGTGGTATAATATACCAGATTACAACTAGGTAACCCAGTTTAGAAGATGGTTAAACACTCAAGCACTTAAAAAAAAATAAAAATCTAAGGATTTAAAACTTGTGTTTACAGTTAGGTATGTTGCAAATTTGTCAGGAATTGGGAGTTCCCTTTTTCTAGCTGCTGGGTGCTGAAAACTTCTGAATATCTGGCAATGGCAAATAGTGAATAAGACAATTTTCTTGAACTGGTGCCTGAAACTTCTAAGTCTGTGAGCACTCCCAGGAAACACATCCAAGGATTTATTTGAGAATCAGCACATCATGAGACCCTCTGGGAGCCTTCCTTCAGTCCTTCATAGATTGTGAGGCTCCAGCCAGCTGGATGTAAGTCATTAAAGCTCCTTATTCTATCCATTAGTACATTCATTAATATTTCTCAGTAACTTGGGACACAACATTTCCCATGCCAAGCTTAGGAAAGTTTTCTCTTCTGCCTAATTTTGACCTAGAGACGGTTATAATGACCAAAAGCTCACCACTGAGTGGAGGAAAAACTTTTCATGAGATCTGTTTGCAGAATCTGTCATCATGTGCAAAATGGTAGAGGGCTTTCATTTTAGAGATTAAAGTCTTCCACAGAGTTGTTGACTGCAAGGGTATTTAACTTGTCATTGGGCATAGTATTCCTGTCTGAAGCTCATTGATCTATTAGCAGTAAAACAATGAATTTTTCACAATAGGCCTCAAAAAAGAAAACAAAGAAACGCAAAGAAAGACTCCTTCTGGGACCTGAGGAACTGGATAAACATGGTGTTAAATTGTCCATGTACTCCAGAGATGGGTACCAGTAGAAGACAGCCAACTTAAGCACAAATAATTGCTTTTGGGTAGAAAAACACAATCCAGGTTTTCTTCCATATGTTTGTACACACACAGTCATAGATATATTCTTATATAAATATAGATTATATATGCATGTATATATTAAAATATAAAATATATATGTATATACAACCATATATTTTAACAGTAACATCTGGGACATCAGCAGGAATCTGCAGACTTGCATTTGCAAGGGAACCTGAGGGGAAAAACCCTAGCTATTTGATTCCACCAAGAAAAACCACTTCAGTGCTAAACCCAGCAGGTCACCTAAAATGGTGACATTATTGCTGTTCTTAAAGCAAACAATAAGCAGTGGCTTCTTATCACTTACCATACTGTAATTTAGCCTTGAGGTCAGAGGTTAAGCATTTTCTTTTTGCTCTTGGACATATGTGAGAAAATGCATTAAGTGGATTTTTTTTTTTTTTTTTTAATAAAAACCTTTCATTCCTAAGAGGAGTTTATGGAAGAAGCAAACTAGGGGCAGCAGGAAGAGACTCAGAGCCCTGCAGGGTGTACACTGTGCTGCCAAAGTCAATATTGCCTTTCTGTACACAAAACAAGGAACCCTCAGGCTCCAAAAACAAGTACAAGAACTCACTTTCTGAAGGATTCTGTTTTAGCTTTCCATCTGGGATATAGTGTTTTGATTCTTGCATCAGTAGCACTACTGGAATTTGACATTCTCTTCTATCAAATCGGGTATTTGTGGCATTTCTCCACTGATCAGAGGTTAACTTCTTGTCCTCTAGTTCTCTTGTATTGACTCTCATTGAAAGCTCAGTAGGACTCTTGTTGAAATCTGTCCAGACTGTGCAGGACTGCAGCAGTGGTGTAGTATTGCTGATGTCAAACCGTCTAATTCAAGAACACAGAGCAGCATGGCCAGAGGGGTTGAAGTAAGGATGGGATGGACAGTGGCACATGGAAACAGTTGGGGAATGGAGAGCGTGCATTGAATCCCATACATTCTGAGCTTTGTTATTCAGAGGACTCTTTTGGGACACCATGGGGCCCAGCTGCTAAAGGTGTGGGTTTGTGGGAGGATTGCTAAGCCTCTGGCACCCTGCCCAGCATGGCCTGCTGTTGAGGGTGTTTGGTACCTCCAGCTGAGCATCGGATGCCGCTGGCATTTAGATTGCAGCCAGATTTCCTCCTATGCACAGCAGCATTGATAATGATGAGCTGAAGCTCCTCTTCTTGCCATTTACCTGCCTGCTGCATCCTCTCACAGTCTTCAGCCCTGGGAAGTGGGCTCTTACCAAGTGGATTTGATCCGAGCATGGTGCAAATGGTGTCTGTCAGAGAGGCCTGTGAAGTGCTGCCAAGCCAGGACAGGGACTCTCTTGTCCTTCCATGCTGAATTCCCCCATGCATTCAACGTGGCTCCTGGTACAAAGAAAACTCAGAGGACTAAAACACACATCTCTTCTCCCTGTGTCTCCTTCCTTCTCATAGTCCTTCTCCAACATTGTATGTACCTTTCTTCCTCTGCCTCAGCTCAGAACTCCTTGTTCTTCCAGGGCTTCTGCATAGCTGAGGACTTCAAAGAGTCTGCTTAATTTGTGTTTGCACTTCTAAGTACTGAATGAAGGTGTGAGGCAGAGGCAGGTTCTTTCGGAGTATTTGTGTATAAACATGAAAGTTACAACCTTTCTGCTCCTTGCTCCTTTCATCTTTTCAGGCTCAGAGATAAAAATGCAGTTGCGTTTTTGAACTTTACAGAAAGTTTTATTAAAAGAATGACTCAGACTCAGAAGTTCTTCTGCTGAGTTCCTTTTCTCTTTTTCCATTCCTTTCCTTTTTTCTTTTTTTTTTCCCTTCTTTTTCTTTGTTTATTTTTCTTTATTTATATGTTTTTTTCTTCTGCTTCCGTTGTTGCTTTCTCCTATTTACTGCTTCACAGTCCAACACTAGTTTCAGGTTATTTTGGTGGACATCGTGTTGCATTGTTGTTTTGTGGCACATCAGGGATATATAGTTGGGGGCCTCCTTCGTTAAAGACCCCAAATCTGTATAATGCATAGCTTGTGCCACCTTTGGTATGGGTGAAAATGTGTGAAAAATTGAGATTTTTAACATCGTGTTGTCAGTTTGCCTCCAGACTGCCATGGGGAGAAGTAGTAAGGATGTCTCTTCATTGACAAAAAGAGAAAGCATAGATGATTAACTTCAGTACCTAATTTTCAGATTTTTTCCCATATTTCTCGGGGTAGTCAAGTTCAAGAAATCTTTCAACAGGAAGGTGGAAATTGGAGCAGGAGTGAAAATGATGTATCTGTACATGAACAGAGGTGACTTTGAATGTTCTCACATTATCCAGAAACACAGAAATAACTTCGCTCAGGTTCCCAACACATTCCCAGCTTCTCTTTGTAATTCTTCAAGTAGCTCAGTCTATCTACACCAGGTTTCATTTCTTATATTGATATCAACTGTAAAGTAACATTGACAGGTAAAATAGCAACAGCAATTTCAAATGTCAGTACTTATACATCTAGATTACAGTGCCTGATAACTCTAACAAAGACGTTAATGCTAAAACTAGAGCTAGGATCAAGGATTCCTGAGTTCTTGTGGGCTTTACCCACTAAATCACCGACGTAGAGCAGTGGTAGATGTGCAGGCCAGTGACATATAATACTTATTTTGCTGAACCTTCCATTCATCTCAATTTTCTTTTAATCTGCCAACCAAATTTAAGCATAGAGCATCCCAGTTGCAAATGTCTGTCTGCTCTTTGGAAAAGGAGGTAATTAACATACATCAGGATATCCATGAGCCAATTATTCTAGTGACTGCTAGAATGAACCCCATATGCAGATGTACATGTATTCTCTAGGATGCTTATATTATTTGCTTGACTTGAGTTTGGTGTCAGCTGGATTCTGATAATTTAACTGATAATGACTTGTACTGGTGCAGCTATTTGTCTTCCAGTACTCATTCTTTATAACGTAGTGCCAAAAATATGCTTCTTCAAAGATTATACAGCACTTAGGTCCTTCAAGTATACTTTTATTTATTTATTTGTACAGTTTGATGTTGAGAGCCCTAGCTACAATGTAAAGTTTCTGTTTGAAACAAAACTTGCTGAACGCCATTACAATGACTTCATTGGTTGACTTCAAGCATTTTGTTTGTATGTGGAGAAAAGACCAAAACAAACAAACAAAAAAAACCCCAACTAATAGTCTGCAAAGTGAATAGCTCTTTTTTGTTATTGCCAACATGACGTTCACCCTCAGCCATCTCTAGTTTCCTGAGACTTAGATACTGTCCACGCTTGATTAGACTGAGCCAAGGATGTAGGGTATCAGGTGGAATTTGCAGCACTTTCGTTTTAATTAATGTTTTAATGAGGATTTTCATTTTTCAGGTTTTATCCACTGCCTTGGCACAAAAGTGCAATGCAAGCTTTCTTTTGAAGTCCACTAGGATTTCCTTAAATTTATGATCAGATAGTTGCAAGCAATGAAATTATCATCTCCCATGTGAGAGGAGACAGCATCCTGCACAGACCATTTCCAGCAAAGGTTGTTTAAGACAACCCTTTTTATTTTGCAGTGCAAGATGCTGGAAGCACAGTAGCTTTGAATTTCTTCAGTTCAGCTAAAGGTAGGTAAGTTCTTTAAATATGTATTAGTATCATCATAAATTCAACATACATTAATATAAAAAATGCTTGTTGGTTACTTGAGACCTCTGACCCTACCTTTGCTAACCAGTGATACAGAACACTTAGAAATCGGAGTTTGTTGGTGAAAGTAATGCTCTTCAGATGTTTCTTCCCATTCATTTTTCTGAATTCCTCATGTTGCACTTTGCTGAAAACCTTCTCTGTGGTCTTTGGGGTTTGAGGCAGGCAGGATCTGTAAGCCTGTAAACCAGTGTGATGCTCAGCTGAGATACTCCCATCCCTCACGAAGTCCACCTCTTCCCTGACCTCAGTCAGCATATGGACAGCAGCCACCCACACGTGGCACATTAGAGGATTAAGACCTTAATGACATTTTTTAAATGCCACTATTAAGAGGGGACTTCCATCCTGTAGAACACTTAAAAAATAACATTTGTAAAAATGCTTCCTGAGCAGCATGTTCCCTTTAACAATATCTCATCTATTTGTATGCTAATAAGAATTCTTTTCTTAGTCTTTGCTTGAACAGTTCAACACTGAATTTATGATTCCATGCTTTGTGCTGTCAAGATTTTACTTAAATTTAGAAAAAATAGTATCTCAATAATTAATTCTAGATAAATTATTGACAGAACAGCAGCAGAGGCAAAGCAGATGCAAAGGAAGAGTGCTTTATATCTAAGAGAGGCTTTTCAAGCAGATACATTTGTAATATCATATTTATACACTTTTAATATTCACTTTTCTGAAATAAATCCATGGTTTTCTAGCATTTGTTGCTTCATGTGATGTAACAATCTACTATGAAAAAATAGCATTTTGTCTCAAAATATATCCTTAACTAATATACACATCTGTTAATAATACCTCCCAAGAGTAAAATATACCAATGTATCCAGACTATACTTCTGTGAAAAGAGTCCTGCATATTTAGGAAGCATAGCTTTACTAACAGAGAAACTGTCAAGTCAGCTACAGACTCTGAAATTTTCTGCTTGTTTAAAAGTGCTCATAATCTGAGAATGTTCAAATATTGTTAGTAAGAGCAATGGAGATAATTAGCTATACAGTTAATTCAAGAATGTTGCTGAAACTTCAGTGCCAGCTGAAAGAATCTTCAACCATAGTTTTCAGTCCCTTTTCTGAGCTCACTGAGTTCCCGTGCATCTCTAAACCTCAGCATTTGGATACAGTCTTAGCCTGAAGTAATGCAAGGTATGCTGAATCCTGGTGAACCACAGATGCAAGGAATGGCTCAGGCTGGAAGGGACCTGGGGAGGTCATTCAGTCCATCCTCCTACCTGAAACAGGATCAACACCAAATGCAGGTCAAGTTGCTCAGGGCTTGGGCTGAGGGTGGACAGTCCACAGACTCACTGGTTGCTTATTTCCATGCTAAACCTCTCTCCTGGTGATGATTTTTTTTTTTTTCCTCATGTCTTTGTGATTGCTGTTCCGCATCCTTTCATTATGTTCCTACAGGAGGAGCTTGGCTTCTTTTCCATAATCTCCTTTCAGGCAGTGGAAGACAACAAACACCTCTTTAGCTTTCTCACCCCGCAGTTTGAACTTCCCCAGTGCTTTCAGCATCTCTGCATGTAGCATGTGCTTCAGCACCCGATCATGCTGATGGCCTTTGGCTGAGCTCTCCCTGGGATGTCAGCAAACCATGTTGCATCTTGTTGGTGCCATCAGCTATGAGTGTGGACATTTACTTTGGCCCAGGTAACACACACATGGGTTTGGTAATCTTTGATAACCTGTGGTATGTTTGAGTTCTGAGCAATGTTGGCCAGATCCAGAAACATGCATCATTTTTTTCCAGATCTCCAAATAAGTCTACATCAATATAAGCTGTTCTCTGCTCTTTCACATCTCTTCAGAAAAATGGCTTTGAAGGGCTAAGTGTGGCAGACAGTCTTCCTCTTTAACATGACTGTAAAATATTTAAGAGTTTAGACCAAGGAAGTAATTTCGAGGCCTAGTTCAACATTACAGCTCTCCTCTTGAAAAGTCAGTCTTCAAAGAACTGGTCCAAGGCCCAGGGATGCCAAAAAGAGTATTCCCATTGACTTTTTCCCATTTTGCTTTCTCTTCTAAAAACAATGCAATTTTCAGCGAAGCTATCTGCTGCATTTGGCATAAAACATGGGCCAATTTCACATCTCAGATACCTCAAGGAGCCTGGTTTTTATGCTGTGCTTCATGAAAACAGTGGCTCAGCCATGGAGTCCTCTCTCCTTGAGGTAGCTGAGAAACTGGCTGGATGGCAGGCCCAGAAACACATCACATAATATCAAGCACTGTCAAGGCCATTAGGAAGACAAATCCTGAATACTGTTTTGAGATAAATTCAAAGCAAGACCCCACAGTAGCTAAGAATATTTGTTTGCAACACAAAATTATGATTGGATGCACATTAATTTTTCTTCACCAAAATGGAAGCTTTTATATAAAAAGTATTCATTAAAGTATTTGAATCTTCAAAACATGCCGGTCATTCTATCTATAAGAAGGTGAAAAACAGCAAAATACTCTCATGACTATTTCCTTACTGAAAAAAATCAATGAAATTGAAACTACCTCAGTATGCGTGTATTGACTTTTATTCCTTACACTGATTTAACTGCAAAGGCCTGTTAAAATAGAGATCAAAGTATCTACCAAGGAGTTCACTTAGCTCTGTAAAAGTAAAGAGTACTTAGAATAGAATATAAGAAAATGACAGAAAATACAGGTTTACGATGTAATTTGTGGTGGAAGTGTAATGGGGGCTCATTGTACTAAATACTGCTGAAGAGAAAACATCTTGGACTTTGGAGAGAGAACAGGATGAAAGACAAAGTTTTATTGCACTTTTGCCCAAATAGAAGGGAATAACTGAGTCATGCCAGAAATGTGAATTGGTACTGACTATAAAAGCCAGATCTGAGTCCTAATCTGATGTCTTCATGCTAAAGGAGTCTTTCTTTGTGCTACACAGAGAGAGGGGAATAAGCTATATTCCAAATAACCTCTGGACTATGTACTTGAATTAAAGAACATAAAGGAGCGAGCAGCGCCATGTAAGCAGCTGTGGACTGGCATGAAGATAGATGGTGTCTGGGACGAGACGGGGCAAAAAGAAAAGAAGCAAAAGGTTTTTTCCATTGCGGTGAGTCATGTAAAGCAGGGAAACACATAAGCTGAAGATTTTTTTCTTTGTTTTTCAACAGCCACAAAGAAGCCGTCTCAGCAGCCACACATTTAAAGTAACCAAGGCTCCTCCCGTGCACAGGGAGTAATTGTTTCTTGCCTGCAGAAGGCAATGCACACATGTGCATGCACACACACATACACAGACTTAAAAACGGTTTAAAAATGTCATATTTGACTTCCTGGCCAGTTTCACAATTCTCTTCAAAAATAGCTCTCATGGCTGCAGGCTGGCAGAGCTGCTCCTGCCCTGGTTTAAATGGCAAAACTCAATTAGAGTTTGAATCTGTTGCACTGAAATGGAATTGTCTCTTGCAGGCAGAGCTCTGTCATGGACGTGGCGTCGGGAGCTGTGGAGGCTGTGCCTGTGGGGAGGGTAGGTTGTGGGGTCTCAGTGCCTTGGGGCAGGGATTTCCTATCTGCTGTTGCTCTGGAAAGGGAGCTCCACTGCTGTTCTCCACGCATGTGCAAGGACCTGCTGCTTCTTACAAGCTTTTGCCATCCAAACTCCTCCATGCCTAAGGACACCTGCTGGGCCCGGGGGCAGCAAGGTGTGCACTTGGCTTTGTTCACGAGGATAATCTCCTTTTGCTCTGCCCATTGGGCTTTGAGCAAACCTACTCCATCCCCCAGGCTCTTTCCCTCAGGTTTAAGGATATTGCTTGTGCTCCTGCAGTCTGGAAATATTTGTGAGGATCTTGGTTGGGCTGGAGCTTAGACAAGGACAAAATGTTTGCCTTTTTCTTGGCAGATTAGCCATAGGAGGCTCCTCAGTCCCTCCCTGTATCCCATTGCAGTCCCGTATCTCCCCTTGCTGTCCTACAGCAGACTGTTTCCAGACACTTCAATGCTGCCTCTGCTCCTGATAGCCCTGAGCTAGCCTCAGCATTTTTCTCATCAGCGTGCACTGAGATGTATGCAGAAATCACTGACTGCCCCCGTCTCACTTATCTGAGGTCTCAGTCTGAGCCTTGGTTTCCATTTGCTCCATAACTCATCAGTGTTAAGCTGCTCCTCATAAATAGCAGCTTCTAGCATGTCTTCTGTCATCTGTAGCTTGTATTTGTGTGCAAGAGGGAGAAAACAGGTCTAATTTACATCAGTGCAGCTGGCTCCTCTGATCTGCCACCTGGAGACTTGGCTGACTGGGAATGTGTCTGCAGAGGGGCCAGACCTTTGTTTCCTCCAGCTGCACCAGTCTCTGCACTGGTCACCTGCTGGCAGAGGGCAAACATACCCCTTGACCTCAACCCTCAGGGACCTGCTGGGCAGTTTTAGTGGATGCTGTAGGACTGCAAGAAGGATGCACGTGTCCTAAGCAGTGCAGCAGGTTCCAGCGACCCTCTTGCCAGACGTGCAGTGGATAAAGTTGAAGTGTATTTACAGAGGCATGCCCTGCCCTGTGGTTACAGTCTGTCTGCCCTTTGAGGATGTTAGGGCTTCAACTCTCCTCGCTGCAGGCTCATGCTGCTCTTGTGTGACTGGCCTAGATGTACATGTATGGTCTGAGTCAAGGTGCTGTTATATGCTGCTTGGGTTGCTCAGTTATCAATGTGGGATGGTTAAAAGTCTTACACTGGGGCAGGCCAAGAGATTTTGACAGACTTTGACAGTTAATGCAATGATGCTCTATTCTGAACTCCAAGGAGGTGGTCCAGGGACTTTTGGCTTCTACTTGGGGTGTTTTATTTATATTTTTTAATTTATTATTTTTTTCAGGTTGGTATTTTATTTGGCACCAAAGAAAAGAGCAGTCGGTAAAGGAAAGAGTTTGGAAAAAATGCTTTATACGTGCAAGACCGATTAGCAAGGCAAGAGACATGGCTGTGCAGCAGGTTTTCTGAGGAGAGGATTCACATCAAAACTATTGGGTGTCTGTGACACTTTCGAAGGTACAGGGAAAAACCCATCAACAACAAAACTGTGACGCTGTCAGCAGCTGCCTGACGTACCTGGGGCTGTGTATGTCCCTTGGTGAACGTCAGAGCTCCTCAGCGAGGGGGGAAGATAATTCTCACTGGAACAAATCCCACTGAGATGATATTTTCCCTGGACTACTTTTTTTTTTTTTTTTTTTTTTCTTTCCTAGAAATAAAATCACTTCAAGTGCAATACACCAGCGGTCAATGTGGAAATGAACAAACTCACCACTGTGCTGTCCCAGGCTGGGCAGAGAGAAATGGGCAATTTTTTTTTCCCACGCAGAATTCAGTGCACGTCTTCATTGGAAGTGCCCCGCAGCCTCCCTGCTGCTGTCTGACCTTCCAGCCAGGGTACCTCTGCTAGAAATTAACCCGAACCTCGAGGTGTGGCAAGATCTCCTGAAGGAGTCAGATGGGAAGGATGAACCCAGTGTGGTATTTTCTCTTTTTGTATACTCCCGAAACCCCAAAACTGGTTACAAGAAGGACAGTAGACTGGCCAGGAGCACAAAATATGAAACAAGGCCCTTGCCAATGTTCAGTCCTATGTGACAGATATGCTGCGTTGCTTAACCAGCCCCTTTCAGGGATGTTCCCAGATCCCCGACACAGCATCCCTCCTTGGCCAGGACAGGGCATGAATGATCATAGCAAAAAGGCAAAAATCCCTGAGAACCAAAGTGTCCAGAAAGATCTCAGAAAAATCAGCTGAGCTATAGTGGCAGAAGCATGAAGATGAAGGCCCTGCCCTCTTCCTGCTCGGGCTGTGGCTCCTGCAGCAAGAGCAGTGGTTGCAGCACCTGGGGAGAAACCCCAGGGTGTGACAGGGTGGGGGCAGTGGTGGGAATGGGGACAAGGATCAGGCCCAGGAGGGACTGTTCCTGGTCATGCACTGCAGATGCCAGCCATGTAGCGGGCTCTGCCCGCAGCCAAAGCTTTAATGGTTTCAGGAGAGGAGGAGCAGAAATGAAACCTTTGTCTGCTCTGAGGTTCTTTAGAAAAATGCAAACAACTTGAAAACCAGGGCAAGCACTTAACATACAACATGTTTCTCTGTCTGTGGAGCTTATCATCCCCTGGGCAGGTCTGTTGCCTGTTTTACTGCCCCACACCAACTCACTTTTCCAGCTAATGCTGTGAGGGGGCATCCTGGGTCCCAAACCAAGCCACATGGAGAGGTGGGGGCAGCTGGGGATGGGAGATTTCAGGGAGGAGGGGTGCCACCAGCAAGCAGCCAGCAGTGGTGGCTGGTTCAGAAGGACCAGGTCAGGAGAAATCCATGGCTGAGAGGGCTGGTGTGTGGTGGGGCTGCCTGAGTGCAGCCACAGAGCCCTCTTGTGTTGTCTGCTGGGCTGCAGACCAGCCAGAAGAGCAGTCTTTTCCCTTCACAGTACCAAGGAGGGTAAAAAATTATTGGCTTAGCTTTCATTTCAGTTTTCTCTTTTCCCGTGAAGTTTTCAGCCTGTGAGTGTATTTAGAGGGCAAGAATGGCAGGAATGAAGCGATCCAAATTCCCCTCGTTTGTGGGAGTGGGGAATGTGCTCTGCCCATCTTCTAAAGACTCGTACACCAGGAGGAGGTATTTGCGCTGGAGCTGTTCCCATGGTGTTACCTATTATTAATTGGTTGATTTCCCAGGAAATATTTTGGCTTCTTGCCAGAAACCCAAGCTTCAGTATCGTATTGCTTCACCCAAAAGAAATCTATAAAGAATTGGTTTTCTTACAAAAATATGTTTATATTTTTCCTGTGGAAAACAAACACTTTTTTTTTTTTTTTTTTTTTTTTTTTTTTTTTTTTTTTTTTTTTTTTTTCCTTCTAAAAGGAAAGGGAAAAAAACACCCTTTGGCTGAACTGCCAAATCTCTGAAGACTAAAAGTTCAGGCAGCCTTTCTCTGGGCAACATGAGACCCACAACAGCCTGTTCCACCCAACATTTTGTATTCTGACCTTCACGATCTTTGCTACAAAAGGAAAAAAATTGTTAGTGGAGAAGAGGAAAAGCAGAGAAGGTTTTACCAGCCACCTTTTTCTTTTATAAAGCAGGAGCTATCTTTAATCCCTTCTGTAGTGCTCTAAGCTTTTCCCCTGCTCCTGCAGAACACCGGAGTATCTGCCTAAGTTTAAGGCTGCAAATAACCCCCCTCACTGCATTATCCCTTTAAGGGACTGCATTATTCCCTTTAAGGGAAGCCACCTTAGACACCAGGGCTTTTTGTAGTGAAGTTCCAGCGAGTCCTGCTCCAGCGAAGTCCCCAGGCACACAATGCTATCTTCTCCTGACATTCATCAACCATTGTATAAGTCTCCAGGAATCACAACCAGCTTAAAGATCAGAGGATTTTTCTTTACAATTGCACAGGTATGCTTCTGTCTCTCCCTCTCTCTTTTTTTTTTTTTTTTAATGATTTCAAAAAGCGTAAAGCCAGAAAGGAGTATTAGATCATTTTAATTTGCTTGCTGATGGTTTTGTGTAGTATTCTATTATCTAGGCATTAATCTCCAAGCAGATACCACCAGCAAAGAAAAAAGATGACATCAAAGCTAAGAATGCTTTAAAACTACTGCGGGGGAAAAAAATGGGTAGAAAATACTTATGAAAAAATGTCCTGCGCTGCAGAAAAAGGTAAGTGTTGTTCTTCCTTTTGTCTGCACAAAATTCCAATTAATCTGAAGAAGGATAAAATTCTTTCCTGCATTCAGGTCCAGTGGTCTCCAAGACCCTGAGAATACAAATAGGGATCATATGACTCAGTCATCCAACTACAGTGCAAGGGAGGTCTCGTTTCAGTCACGTCCATAAACGTGAGCTGTGTGTCAGAATCTGTTCTTTTCCTGTCTGTAGCCTGTTGAAGAGACTCTTCCAGTCTGTAATATGTGCACAAAGTTAGGAGGAGTTTATGAGAGGTTAGGAAGCTGGTATGTGTTTTGGAACTTCCTATCCACTGAACAAGCTTTTTCTAATAATTCAAGATCTTGTCAAATGAATTAAAATGATTCTGATTGTGATGCTATGTATGTGTCAGCTTCTATTTGAATAATGTATTCTGTATTTTGGCTGCTTAGGACTGGATTTTTAATACTTTTTTTTTTTTTTTTACACACTGCTGACAGCATGATTCTATTTGATCTCTGTTGGCAATAGAAATGTAAGAATGAGGATCTGTTTTAGCAGTCATTTTAGTTTATACTGTTGACGCTTTTAACCTGAGCTTTTGCATTAGCACCCTACCAAAATATTTGGATTGGAATTATTTTATTTTATTTTAAAGATAATTCCTTCAAAATCTAAGTTAATTCATGAAAATATTTTTACTCATGGCAAATTTAGGAAATACTGCCTGACCAAATTCTGGGGTCTCTTTTGCTGAACAAAACTCTAGGGTCTCTTTCTTCCCTGTCTTCAGAATGTGTGCTCATAAAAGGCTGGCAAGCTTACAGCTTTGAAAAACAATCAAAGTAGCTATGTGTTACAGCATGACCTTTTGGTGTTGCATTGTTGTGCCAAGGCAAACAAGGTGCTGCCCAGAGCATTCCCTGGTTTAGCTCTGCTTGTGCCTTTTGGTAAGAGACAGATCCTTAGTCTGGCCCACAGTAGCTACAGTTAATATCTCATCTGTTTACTGATTACCTCTCTCATTGTCTTCTTGCAAAGCCACCCCTTCTACTGACAGTAATTGAATTGGCTGTCTGTATTAGGTTCTTAGATTCACCATATGCTCTCAGTCTAATATTATTTATTTGAGATTAATGGAAACAACACCAAGAAAGAGCAAATGCAAAGCTTAAAGGAGAGGTCACAGAACATCTTGTCATGCCAGATGGTGTTGTAGCTATCCTGGAAGCTATCAGGTAGGTATTTCAGACACATATTCTTTACCTTTTGAATTTGAGATAAACTTAAGGAACATTCAGAAAAAGAGAGACTTGCCATTTAAATGGACAGGGAAATAATTTGAATTGCCTACATTATGATTTTCGGAGGAAAGGTAGATCTGAAAAGATGGCACAGATTTTTAGGATTCATGTCTGAACGTTAATTTTGTTTCTGTGATCTCAGTCAGCTTTGTCTTGGGTATGTTTTCAAGGATTACGTAAAAGAAGTGTTATTTGTAAACTCTCTCTGTGTTCCATGTTACCCTTACCAGAAGGTGTCTCACTTGCATGGTCATTGCAAAAAACTATGCTATGAGATATCTTTAGGTGCACTGCATACTGTTAGGTTGCTTTGGAATGATGTATTGCAGCCCCTCAGCAGCATGGGAATGAGAATGTATTAACCTAAAATATCTGATGTGTATGCAAGGCTACAATAAGCACGGCACCATCTCGTAAATGTTAGTTAGCAGCAGAAATATTTTTAAATGTTATGTTGGAAGGATAGAAAGCCAATAAAACTAAGGGAAAGGGAGAAGGAAAGACTTGTGATAAGGGAGAAGGTACTCAAGTACCACGATGATCAGCAGAGCACGAGGGGATGGGAAAAGGTGAGAGATGTTGCATGAGATAGAGATGGGAAGTGCAGCCTGGGTGAGAGAGGAGATGCCTGGAGAGGGAAGAGATCTCTGATCAGAGCAGAAAGTGCAACTGGGAAAGAGTAACAGGCATCTCAGGCTCCCACTAAAAGGTCTGCTAGTGGTCACATCCCTGTGTCACACTGGTCCTTTACCCTGCTGGATCCCATCTGCCTGAAATGTTCTCCCAGGGCTGAGCCTTGCCCTGCCAGGAGGCTCTGCAGCTCCAAATGTCTTTCAAATTAATTAACTCAGTCAAGAATGGGAGACATTAAGGAATGAGGGGAAGAGAGAAAAGCACAGCTAAGAGTTGTTTTAATGAATGTGGCTTTCCTCTCAGAAGGATTGAAGACATGAAAGATGTTTTCAAGGAAGCAGGAGAGCTTACTTAAGGAAGGGATTATTCAGAGCTTGAAAAGTGCTGATTACAAATTGCCTTGTGTATGCTTTAGGTTGTTAAATGTAAAGAGGTCTTAATAACTAAGCTAATAAACTCCTTAGTGTTCCACCTCGATATTTTTATTTATGTCTTCAGAAGTATGCTAGTTTGCTGCATAAATAACAAGGCATATTTCATCTTGGAGCAAGCAACAAACACACTCAGAGAGTTCTCCAATGTAGCAAGAAGGAGGATTTTTCATTTATTTTATTGATATTTGGTATCTTTTGTGCTGCAAATGGTTCAAGCAGTGAAGTGGATACAAGTTTTACCTGCAGGAGGAGCTTTGTGGAGTATTGGGCAGAGCTCTGCATCCAAGTGATACATGAAACTCGCCACCAGCGAGGGGGTAGGATGTTTTTAAATATGGATGGTTTTCTTATGAATAATTTTCAAATGGTTTCAGATTTAGAACATTTTTTTTTAAAGCCAGGTTAACACAATTCCCTAATTCCAAGTGAAAGCTCTTGCCATCTTCTGATTCAAAACCAGTTCAAGGACTGAGTTACAAATAAGATTTTTTCCCAGAAAGGTGAGAGCTTAAAGCAAACTCCCTTTGTTTGTTGGGCAAAAAGATCTCTTGAAATAGCTGTTACCCAGTCATTCTTAATGCCTGTCCCCTGAGGCAGGCAAGGCCTGTTTTGACTGTACTTATTGATCTGTGTTATGAAAATAATTACAATAGCATTCATGAGCCTTGAAAACCATAGAGTAAAGATAGCATGCATATTTCACTTAAATCAATAAGTTTGGTGGGGGGTATAATATGCCTCTTGAAGCATAGCTTGAGGAGATTATCTTGCTTTGCTCTGCTTGAGGAGGCTCTGGTAATGTATTTAATAATGACAATGACAAAAATAAGGCTCAGCAAATTACCTGCTTCATGTGGTATTGCAAAACCTCTGCTCTGTGCTGCCCCGTGTGCTGGCCTCAGCTGGCCCCAAATCTCCTCCTGCCCCAAGCCTGTGGCAAGAGAAGGACCAAGTGCCCTCTCTGCCCTCTACTCTCCTCCGTTCTGCTGAGATGACAAATAATTCAGGCAGGGGCTAGCTCTGGCTGACTTTGCACAGCACCTGCTAGAAAGTAGGGTCTCATTTCAGCTGGGGATCTCAAGCCCTGTAGTAGCACAAATAATTTTATGTAATGATTTCATTTTATTTATGGTCCTAGGCTTTACCCAGAGACTCGTGGTGGAACCATTAGGCATGTCTGGGATTGTTATGAACCTCTTCCCCCAAAAGTAATTTATCTGACTGAGGGTGGTGTGGTGCAATTGTACAGCAGGCTTATGACAATTATTCTAAGACAGCTCACCTCCTGCCTCTCTGAAAACCATCTCAAGTTGAATAAAAACTGTGTTGCTCTGAAAACAGCCACTGCCCCATCAGGCTGGAAGTGAAGTCTTGTTACCTGGATGTGTATGTTGTATACCCACCTCTTGTACTGACCTCCAGGGACCTTGCTATCTGCTGATGGCATTTCCCACATTTTCAGATTTTGACTGCATGTCATGTCAAAAACTGAAAGATCCAGGGAATCAAAAAGCCTCAGGATGCCAGGAGCAGTGACAAAATTGAATCTATGTATGTTCATCCTAGCCTGTTCTGTTTTCCCCAGCTTTAAAACTAAGTTTCTCCCACCCTTTGGAAGTTCCTTGAGCCAGAAATATGGTGAATCATTTGGGTTTGGGTACAAACTTCACTGAATGAACTGCATTGGGAAAGCATGGTCAGGTCTTACAGAGCCAGTGTGGCTGGCAAATAGATGAGTGGTTGTACTATGAGAGCTGTCTGGTTTCCCTGAATTGCCTTTCTGAGAGAGGAAGATAGTCTCATTAGAGCAACCTTACCAATACTACCCAAGGCTGATGAGGTCTAAGCAACAGATTGAACTGACCAGAGAGATTGCTAGGTGCAGCTCTCACACAGAACAAGGTGGAGGAATGTGATCCTCTAACTGTCCAAGTAATAGTATTATTCCGAACTGCTGTGTGAATGAAACAGCAGGGGAGGCAACTTTTGTCTTTCTAAAGGAATACATGGACCTGCAGGAATCATTTGAAGGGGATGTACTTTGAAAAATATTTTGCAGCTGAGCTGAGGAAAAGGCCAGCAGTGGGCTGACCAGCTGCTTTAAGCTCCGAGCTGTCTCTGTTGTAACTTCTTTCATACTTCGATTCTGAAAACATTTATGTGAAAATTCTAAAAGTCTTTGTTGCTGTCCTAACGTGAACCACCACACATGGCCTATTTTCTGCCATCCAGGTGGTCTGCCCACGGGAAAGGACAGAGCTATCCCTGCCAGGGCCTAATCCAGCTGCTCTTCTCACATGGAGCTTTCAGCACCGCTGCACTGCTCTGTGGCCAAAGCCCATGCTGGCAGTGATCACTGAATGTCACAAATTGAGAGATACGTGATAGATATAGCAAAGTAGTGGACTTGGGGATGCAGCTTTGTGTCCTGTCTCCTGGGTTTGCAGCCTGCCTGAACTTCAGAAGCATAAAGCAGAGACAGTTTCTCTTCCCTGAGGTCTTGTAGGTTCCACATCCAAACCAGTGATAGAGAAACTGAGGTAATTTTAGCCACTGAGAATGAATAACTGCAAATTCTTATTCTCTGCATATTACTGTGAACACTAAACAGCCATCCTGCAGTACCTGGCTCCAGCCAGAA